TTTGTAAACATACTATAGGGTAAAATGAACATGTGATTAAATTTTCTTTTATAAAATATTCTTGCTGGAATTGCAGTAATTATGTGTTACCTTAGAGGAATCACTTGCTGCCTCCTCATTTTGTACTGTAGGTTTTCTAGTGAAAACAAATACATAGAAATAATCAGTTTATTGTTAACATAAGCAAGGATTTCAAACAGAAAATAGCACCATGTATTGCTTTATACATTATGTAAGACTTTTGGTGCACACTTACAAATCATTTTAATATACAATGCCTTAAAATAACCTTCAATACTTGAGTTAGGTTGACTTCTTGGCCTTTCATGTTTACTTCTATCTGTATCAGTATTTTACCTGCCCAGAAGATTCTCACTTCTTTATCATTCTGCTAAGGGCTCTCTGTTAATTTCAATGTTTGAAATGATGCTCAAGAGAGACGCTTGCTATGCCCATTTTTTACTCATGACATGACATAATCATGACACTGAGGATTTTCATCCTTCCAGCTCTTTGTAGTGTGATTAACCTCTGACATCTTGTAACTAGATGGCACACTGCAAGTTAAAAAAAATTGACTTCTAGTGAATAACACTTAATTAAAGAGTACATTTAGTGAGGAAAAATATGAAACTAATAACCTCATCATATTACCATCACTAATTCCCAGGAAAGACAGGGGTACCAGGATACTTTAGTGTTTTGCAGAACTGGCCATTAAATGAGATTAGAATTTTGCACATGGCTGCTGCAAGGGATTAAAGCAGTCTGCAGCTAATTGGTCTAAAATTTGCTTGTTAAACTTTCCCTTGTATTTACTGTACTTATGAAGTAAAAGAGAAGTCATGTTTCAGTGCATAAGAGCTTAGAATTGTTTATCTTCAGCTACAGCACAACCAGTATATACAGTGATGTGACAGATAGATGCTGTACCTGTCACTGGCAGGAGGTTGTAGGTGCTCAAAATACAACAGCCCATTGGAATTCATGCTCATAACAGTCTCACCCTTGGACTGCAGCTCAACTTGGAAGGGGTTTGATGTGACTTGAAGTTTGTAGTCCTCATTAACACTTGACAGTACCAAAATACCTTCCTCCTTGTGGGATATGAACAGTCTGCCAAATTAAAAGCAACAACAGCTTTATATGAATCAGCAGCACATGAAATCCACTGTAACTAAATAACAATTGATAGAAAAGATGGGCTAAGAATATCTGCATGCATTACACCTCAAGGCTAATGTTGAGCCAAAAAAGGCCAGAAATACATGCTGTGCTCAGTGTTCACTGCATAGTGCAAAAAGTGGCTACAGAACTGCCATGAAAACTATCCAGAGCTTGCATTCCTTTCACATTAACAGCTAATGCCTTAGGTAAAAAACTTTGCATTGTAACAAGTAGGCTATTTTCTGACTGAGTCAAACAGTCTCGGGTTTCTTATCTGCATGGCAAAATTTTCTCCTAAGTATTTAACGTGATCTTTTGAAAGTAAATTAACCACGTGCATTTTTTTTTCTTCCTGTAACAACTTTACATTGTAGAGAGACAACTGCACTGTAATACAAAGGTAACACAAAGCTGTGTAAGAAATTAAGGTTCCTCTTCATTTAAATCATCCATCACTTACCTCTTGGTGGTAGGTTCCTTTATAAGAACATCAGGAACTTTGTACCTTGCTCTGAGAGGAGATGCCTCATCGATTTTAAGCCTGAAAATATTGCCTTCTATTTCATAAATTTCTACTTGTAGAAGAACCTGTGAGCAAACAAACAGATAAATTTGTAAGGATAAAAATACTTATTTTTAACACAGCATCACCAAACACTTACTGTCTGGAAAAAAGGGAAACATGCCTGCTTTATGATTTAATGTTCTTTAGCATTGTTAAGAGTAGAAAATCATCATCCATATGAATTTACACCAGCTAACTCCACCCCTTTGAAGAAGCAATGCCTTTTGAGCAAACTCTTTATCTTCAAGAAACTGGTATCTAGCATTACAGAAAAAGAACTTATTATTTTGAAGTAGTGGAGAAAACTCTGAATTAAAAATATTTTTCAGATAAAAAGTGTTCTATTCAGAACTCTTTTTTCGTAAAGCCATTAATTTTTTTTTAATTAAATACTGATCAGTAAGGACATATTTAGGCTGATAGTTTGCATTATCTCTCAAATATCTATCACTGAAGAATCTCAAAACCTGCAAACATTGTCAGTGTTGTTGACAACATTCACTGCTCTCTCTGTAAGCACCCTCTTATGCTATGTGGTATCTCACCTTATTCTCCTCATGGATGATTTGGAATTTGACATTCTCATCACTTAATGTGACTGAATCCAACAACACTCGATACAAGGATTTTCCAGGATGTAGAAGTTTCTGACGCCTGTCAAGACAGGAAATTATTTTTGTTCTCCCCAGTTCTTGTAGCTTAAATCATACAGGGAGACATAATATTGTTAGAAATGTTTACTTAATAATTTTGTATTGAATTTTTTCAAATAAAATTATTAGCACTTCAAGTCAAGAGGTCAAATGAGATGTCAGAGAGGTTCAGGGGTTCACCCATCACCACTCTCTATGGTTTTTTATAACAATAATAGTCTTAATTCAAGTGTCCAGCTCTTAGCTGTGCAGTTACATTGTTCTTTCATTTATCCCTGACATTTCAGTTGAATAATCTGTTTTTCCATTTTCTGTCATATATCCCTCTAACTCTCCAATGAACACCTTCTACATTCTGGGGTGATGAAACAGTGGGTTTGTAACTTATAACCTCCAAATACCTCCAAATAAATAAATTCCACCAAGGAAATTGTTTCTCTATAAGTCAGATGACTACAGAGCTTTGACTACATTTTTTGGCCCTGATAATGTTTTTAGGTCAGAGATCCTGAAATAAAGGCTCTTTCAACTCTTTGTAGAATTCTCCATGCCAAGGCCAGGCTTTATGAACTATTTGAAGGTGTCTTGGAGGCTACCTTAGAGACAAACTTCTTCATTAATAAACCAAGTATGTCAGTGACTAATTGGTGTAATAATGGGCAATAATTTCTTTCAGTCAGGACAAGAAAGAACACAGTGGAGGGAAGAAAAAGGTTGAGAGCAGAGTTAGAAATGGGATGAGAAATATGACGTAGCATAAGGTTAGCTTTAAGAGACTAGTGAGCTACAATTTAGATTCGACACTGAATTCTGGCCAAGGCTCAACAGGACTGTAATCACACATGCTATTGTCACAGACTAATGATTTCCTTTGAGTGTTTTTGCTGCTTTGAACTACAGATAGTCAAGAGAACAACCTGCATCTGAATGCACTTGCAATTAAAATATTGCTAGGGCTTTGTCAGATGAGAGGACTGATCCTTTTGAACATTAACAGAAGACATTCTGGGTATAAGATTACATGTTTTAAAGCCTGCTGATTACTGCTTGCTGATAGGTAAGTAGAATGCTCACCTTTGAAAAATAAATCCTGAAAGTAGCAGATTTGCTGTGATTAAAAGTCAGTGTGTAATTACTTCTTGTATCTTTTACTATTAGTAGATTAAAAATAGCCATCACACTATAATTCTCCATACCTGTAAAAAGCAATTTGGTTGCATTTCTTAAAGTTGCTTTTGTCCACAGCCTCGTCTTGGACACTAGAAAGAGCAGATAAAGAAAGTGTTTAAAGTTGTCCATCAAACACCTGCTCAATGATCAGATGATGGGGGTCCTTTTCAAGTGTGGTCAGGATCAAAGACAGTGCAGAAAACTCCAGTCCAACATAAAATGTGATGGACTTTAAACTACTGTGTTTATTACACGTTCAGTTTAATGCTGAACCATTTCCTTTTAAACTCTGAAATTCTGAGAAATTACTGAACCTATGACTAACAGCTGAATTTCATCATAGGTGAATTCTTATGGGTTTGCATTTTGAAGCCAGACGTCCCTCTTCAGTCATTACATTTAATTATTATTTTCCAGTAATAAGAATGCAGAAATGGGGAGGACTGGCAGCAAAGAAGAAATCCTGCACCCTTTTCTTCTACCTTCAGTGGGACCCACAAAGGAGGGAGGCTTCTGATGGTCCTGCTGACAGCTCTACATTATCTTTAGGCTGGAAGTAACTTTTAGATTTATTAGATAACAGTAAATTTTTTATTTGTGTGAAAGAAAATGGGCTGCTAGTAGTGTCCATCATCAAAATATTTCCCAGATCATGCTTGGTTCAGATAGAAGGGAAAAAGTTATTAGTTGTGGCAGATAAAGCACTGATGCTTACGTAATACTTACTAACTACACACATGCAACATAGGAAATGTGGACGGCACCCACTGAGGCTCAGTCACAATTACAAGTCCTGGATTACTATTTGAGATCTCACAGTGACCGTATATTTAGATCACTTAGCCCTTCCCATTTTTGCTTGAAGACACGTAAGTCCTTTTGGGTTTTGCTCCCAGTTCGTGCGCCTCTGTCGGCGCACTGAACGCGGTGCATCCCGAGCTACCCCTGGCGCTGTGGATCCGCTGGCTGCCCCGCTCCGCCGCGGGAAGGCTGTGCCCGGGCACGGCGGCGAGGACAGCACCGGCACGGCCCCGCACGCCCGCCCCCAGCCCCGACCCGCTGGATGGGGCCGGGTCCGCACCCCGCCGCTCCCCGCGGACACCGGCCGAGACACCCCGGCACCAGCGGGAGCGAGGAGCGGGCCGGCCGAGGAGCGCCTCCCGGGCTGCGTTACCTGACTCCCCCCGGCGTCCCCGCCTCCATGGCGGAGCTGCCCCGAGCGACCCGCGCGGAGAGAAGGGCTGACAGCCCACCGCGCCAGCCAGGGAACGCCGCGGGCCCCAACAGCGACCGGGCCGGCGAGTAGCACCCGGGGGCGGTGACAGCCCGGGCCGAGCGGGGAGCGGCTCCGCCCAGCGCCGCTCTCGCCGGCCCACGACCGCCGCGTCCCTCCGCGGGGAGCGGAAGAGGCGCGGCCAGCACGGCGGCGGCCTCCGTACGGCGGGATGGCGGCGGCGCCGCGGTCCGGGGGGCGGCGGCGGCCTGGAGCTGTCCTGCTACGGCTGCTGGCGGTGCTGCTGCTGGCGGGCGCGGCGGGCGCCGGGCAGCGCTCCAAATGGCGGCTGCCTGTGCTCCTGGTGAGTGCGGGGAGCGGGGCCGGGCCCGCAGCCGCCGGGCCGGCCGGTGTGGCGACGGTCGGAGCGAACGCGTGCGGGCGGGAGGCCGCGGCTGCTCCGCGCGTCCTCCTCCGGCGGGACGGCTGCGGTCGGGAGCGTCCCTGCTCGGGCCTCTGTGGAGCCTCGCCCGGGGCTGGTGCGGGGGCTCGGGGCCGTGGCTGCCTCCTGCCCTGCTGCCTGCTTGAGCCCTGTCTGGCGGCTCGGCTGGTGGAGGCAGGGGAGAGAAGACTTGTGCGGGAAATAGTCCGATGGGCGGCGAAGGGACAGCCGTCCCTGTGAGGCCCAAGGGAAGGAGGGAGGGTCCTCCCCGGCTGGTGTCCGGCCTCGGTGGGCCCTGTGCGGGGGAGGCCGCCCCGCGCCCCCCGTGCGGCCGGGCTGGCGGCCCGCACCGTCGGGCAGCGCCGTGGCCTGGGCTCGGGAAAGCTGGGCCACTGCAGCGCTGGACCGAGAGAGGGCCTCAGGGAAGGTGAAGGGATTTCGGCACTTCTGATAAACCCTGAGTGGAATTTGCGTGGAGGAAAGCTGTTGTGCCTCAAATTCGGTCGGACTTTATCAGGCAATGAGTGTAATATGCGCTTTATGTGAGGCTTTTGAGCTTCAGGAACAAAAGTGAAAGATCGCTGTGAGCACTCCTGTTGGTTCTTAGAACAGAATTTTTTTTTTTTTTTTTGTTGGATGGTCCAGACCATTTAATCAGCAAGAAAATGGTAGTCATTTCAACAGATGTCAATGTGAAGTCGATTCCGCTTGCAGATCAAAGAGCCCCAAGCTTCTTAAACCATCTCTAAGAGTATGTTGAAGGGTGGTGAGGTATGACTGGAAAGTCCAGTAAGTCTGGCTCTGGATTTGACATTTTCTTTCATTACTGTATTGGCTTAAAACTCAGAATGGAAGATTATGTTTACTTAAGCTCAGCGACATTAAGCCTGGTGCCAAAAGATTTTTGCATTTTATATATTTTTCATCTATTAGTAGCTCTGTAGGCTATTACTGTATACCTATATAATTTCTTAGCTAAATTCAGTACGTCTCCTACCCTGTTAGGTTAGACAAGACACATTCCTGGAATCCTACGATAATCTCACTTCTTCGGTGAACCAAGGACATTTCACTTTCCAATGTATTTAGACGTAACGTGGGGCTAGAAGCAGGGGGAAGACTGCAGTAGAGGGTCAAACCAAGCGGGGAGTTACTTCATTAACTGTACTTCTAATTGGGGATTCTTGTCAATGATGCTAATTTGCTAAATTTACAAGTGTCAAAGCCGTGCATCAGGTGTGCACTCCACTGTCAGTGCACCTGGAGGACTGTCAATATATGGTAACTGCTTTTTATAATTTATAACTTGTTTGGCTTGTGATTTTAGGGCTGATAAGGGATTAAGCCCACTATCATCTCTTCCTTTTTTGTGCCTTTGCAGGGGAAGAAGTTTAGCTTTGGGAAGATTCTCTTCAGCAACACCACCATTTTCCTGAGATGTAAGTGGTTACAAGGCATTAACCTGTTCTCTCAGTTTTTTGACACCCCGCCTATTTTTAACATTCGGAACTTAAAACAGCGTGAAGGGTTTAACTGCTAATCTAGCAGTGCAGGAAAGCCACAGCTCTGATATGGTTGAGTCTGTTAACTGTCTTGGAGCTTCTCAGTTTTGATCTGTTTAGGTTGTAGCAGAAATTAGTGGCTCTATTCATGCTCTCTGTGAAGAGGGAAAAACGGGCAATGGGAGCACCATTTTGTTTCAGATAGTGGGTAATCATGTGTGGGATGTGCTGCTCTCTACTGTGATGTGTACTTTTCCTATCTTAGATTTGTTAAATTCCCTTGAGATTGGTGCTAGCTGGACAGGGTCTGTTAGTGTACTGATGTGAATACAGAAGGCAATGTTTTTTTTTGAAGCCTTGTTCCTTTTTAGCTTTGTGCTTTTGGGTGTGGTAAGGGCATGTTGCACACTGCAGCAGAGCTCTCCTGAGAGGTGTTTTCTCCTCCTGATCCCAGTGTGTGAGTGGGATCATTGAGTTTGTTCTGTCGAGCAAACATGTTGGCAGCCTTCCCATTTCTTCTGTGTATTGTTCTTTGCTGATCTGGCCAGGTCTATGGGTTATGTAGGTTACTGCTCCAAGGAAAGTTTACTTGTGAGCATAAGGACAGCATCTAGATGGCAATAAAATGTTATAGAAGTGACTAGCTAATTTAGAAAGGTGTGAAATCTTTGCCATGCACTTTGAGCACTTTACGTGGTTGTTAGTGCCAGTTTTTACCGTGAGGGAAAGCTGTTTAGTCTCTGTCTGGTGTCCGTACCTGTTGTTTTTCAGGTTTAATTTCCAATACGTACCCTTCTTGGGGCAGTGTTTCAAGGAGAGTTTGTTGAAATGCTTCTCTTGATCCCATGTGAATCTGAAACATGAGGGTAGAATTCAAGTGGTTATTAGTGAATGTCCATCACTTCACTGTTAGGGCTTTCCCACTTGACAAGTGTAGCTGAGACACTGAGGTTTGCATCTTGCACTGAGACAATTGCAGCTGTACAACTGCAAGATCAAAATTAGAAATCTGCTGCTTGGGAAAAGGAGCAAGGGTTGAAAGGGCATTTTGGTGCTTTGGCAGGTTTTAGGCTTTTTTGTCTGAAGTTTAATAGGAATAGTGTACTTATAGTGACATGTCACCTAAGATACAGGTCTCTGAAGTGAAGTGTGTGGTAAATCTACTTGTGCCAAAATAACCGAGAGAAGGAGCTAAGGCATGGGAAAAAAATGATTTGTTGTAAGGCAGATCTGTCAGTAAGAATTCAGCCCCCTGACTCCTGATGTAGAATTGAATTACACTATACTGTCAATCTTTAAGCAGACATTAAGCCTTAAAATTCTGTAGTGAAGACACCTGTTTGACATACCAGTGTGATTGAAAGATTTACATGAATTTGGAAAATGAGTCACTGAAAGAGGAAGGAACACAGGCTGGGAACTTACTAATTTTCTCAGCCTAGGTGAAACTTTAACTGCATCTGATGCTGGGAACCTTCAACTTTACGTGTTTTTTCTTTTCTGCCCATGCCTTTGTGGAAACTGGTCTCCTTTTGTTTCCTGTCTGTTGCCTCTCCATCTGCTGTGTGATGTTTGTGTGGACAGTATGACCCTTCTTGCTCATGGGTTGTTCATGGTTTTCTTGAGCACCTGGATCTCCTTACCTCCTTTTTTTTTCCCCTCGTCTTGATTTTAGTTTTGAGGTTTTTTTTTGTTTCGTTTTTGGTTTTTTTGTGGGTTTTTTTGTTTGGTTGGGTTTTTTTTCCTAATCTGTATGGCATATTGGTGTCTGATGCTTTCAGCTTCTGACTGGGAAGATTGCTGCTGGCATGTACTGTTGTCAATAATGAATTTATTTTTATCTACTTTTCTGAAGTGCTGTTCTAGAAGGCATTTAGTTTCTTGAGTATGATTGTGATAGAAATCCTGCTCTCTGTAAATGAGTACAAAGATTGCATTCAAGTTGAATATTGCTGTCTTTTGTTTGATGGCTAAGGAACTTAGATTTCCATATTGCTGAATTCAGTAAATGCCATGGATACTTCTTCTGACTTTTGGAGTACTTCCTTTTCAAGATTTCTGTAATTTTGATGTTTGCAGATATTGCAGATTGTTCTAGTGACCTATTTTACATATATGAGTGCTACCGCTGAATATGTAGTTGCCTGTTTATTTTTCACAGAATAAAAGGTATTTTTGAATTTTATTTTTTGCTAGCACTCTTTTTGAGATACTCCTCATTTGGGCAGTTTTATCAGAAGAGCCTGTGTCGTCAAAGAATTTGCCGTCTGCCCATGTAGTAGTGCTTTAGTGCTTGTGCTGCCTTGTAGTTTCTTTTTTGTGCCCTTTGCAACATCTAGGGCAACGTGGAACATGTATGCCTTGTTTTCATGCTTACCAGAGGGTGTCCTAAGGAAACTCCTTTCTTTCAGTGATTTTGCTCAAATTTTTGGTATTAGAAACGCAGTTGTTGAGTTTTTAGCTGTACGTATACGTGTTTCAGTGCTCAAGAGATGTAGAGTGGGATTAGTCAATTAATACCCTGTGGCAGGGTTTTCCTTCTAATTGATTTTTCTACCTGCAGTGCTCGTATGGGAGCATTCCTTAAGAGTGTATATGTAAGATAGCTGTGGTTGCATCCTCTGATATGGATGTTGCCTGTGAAGTTGTGGGAACTTCTTAGCCACTGCAAGTATTCTGTTAACTCATAAGAGTTTTGCCACTAGTTGACTGAAGAAACGCAAATGTAAATCATCTAAATCATCTAAATGGCTCTTCCAAGACTGAATAGTCACTGCTCATTTTATTTAAGGGTCAAACTTGCCTTCTTAATGTCAAATTCTCTTCATTGGGCTTTAGTTTAAGAATGAGATTTGAAACACAAAAACCCACACAACCTTTCCTGACAAGGGGAAAGTCTTGTGATTCACTTTTTGTGCGTGTTGTTACTAAATAAAATCAAAGAGCAAAGTTGTCTTATTGCTGTTTAAGGCAGCATTGCAGCTTTGATAGCTTGGGCTGAGGTGTAGATACCTTGTTTGTCTTTTGGGAGTGTCGATGTTGACTGGTACAATCTTACCTTCATTTCCTTGGTGATGGCGTTGGTATATTTAAATTATATGTGGAAATTTCTTAGTATTATCCTGTTCCTAGGTTTCTCTGCCTGTTACATGTGCCCGTATCTCTGAAAGGGAGGTCCCTTTTGTGTATTGGAGGCACTGCTGTTCTTGTGTGGTATTTGCAGTTGCTGAAACATCCTTGATTGTCTTCAGAAAAATAGTTCGCAAATGATCTTCAGCTCTTTAATAAAATTGTATAGTACTCTAATGGAATTCTGTTCACATGCTTCTTTCTTTCACTGAACAGTAATGAATTACTTGAGGAAAATATTTTTCTATTGTTTTGCTTTCAGTTTCATATTTAAAATTTAATTATGTTGGTTTTGCACAGAATGGGAAGAAAGACCTGGAAACCTGGAAGGCAGATGGTGTCTTACATATCTCATGTTTAATTTTTTGTTTGGTTGTTTTTTTTTAGTTGAAGGAGATGAAAAAGCTTGTGAACCTTCCCAGGGTTTCAATGTTACTTGGTACTTAAGATACTCTGACTGCTACAATGAAGTCTTCAACTTTGGGGTAAGAATTCTGTGGAAAAACAGAGGTTATGATTTTTAGGGGTAAGCAGATCTTGGGAGGGGGGTTTTAGAGATGTCTCCCTTGCATCCACGTTGTGATTTGGGCCTGAAAGACATTCTTCCATTAGAAGATAACAAATTTCTGGAATAGAATTGAAATGATTGAAGGCTTGCTGCAATTGCTGACTTTTTGGGGATTTTCGGTCAGGTGGAAGTGTTTGTCAAAATTGTTTTAATCCCAGAAACCTAAATGAATACATTGACTCTAAAATAAGTGAGTTTATGGTAGTTGAAAATATTTGCAGGAATACTTAATGACAGTGAATAGGAAAAATTGAATATTTGCATGTTAAGTTTAAATTCTGTTCTTTGCGGATGTGTATTTCAAGCATTAGCAATTCGTGCAAAATGTATAGTGTTTCTGTCAAATGTGGTAGAACATCATTGTGCTTTCTATGGTTAATATTTTTCCATGTTTACTTAAATTATTAATTATGGCAGTTTTAACTACTAATTTGACACAGGACTGGGTCTTCACTCTTTAAAATAATAATGCAGTTTGTTTCTGTAGACTTATTTTATTACTTAATTTATTTCTGAATTTATATTTTCTGCTGCACCTCCACTTTTTAATTCTTACTCAGAGCCTGTATACCATCATTTTTATAGTCTTGTTTGGTTTTCCTGCCTTTGTTCTACTAAATTTGATTTAAGAGTGTGTGCAGAGTGAAACTATGGAGCTTTCCAGGTCTTTCAGCTATCTACTGAGATAAACTGTTTGAAATACTTGATGCTAACCTGAGTTCTACTCTGTTTGGCAGGATGAACAAGCAGATAACTATTTTGGGACTACAGCTGAAGAGCATCCCGGTTGGTCAGGATACTATGCCACTGCTTCTCTCCTCTTTTTTAACTGCTCTGAGCTCTTCAGGCCTCAGGTATGGGTAGAAACCTCAGAGCTTGCTCTGCTGTCTTATAAAATATATAGAGAAGGTGGTAATTTCTGTTAGATCTATTAGCATCCTACGTAAGTATCACTGTAGGTCAGGAGGTACTTTTTTATCTGTTTATGACAACCAAGCTGTGATGATTATTTCTTAATTTTCCTTTACTTCTGGCTTGCTGTTCAACATTTTGCTCATGGTAGTGAAAAAACCCCAACCAAATCACTGTAAAAGTGATGTAAAATTCAATGCTTCTTTTAGTTTGTGGTTTTGTATTCTGAATTTATTCCATTTACAGGAAGCTACTGCAAATTGAGTAGAAGTGGCAGCAGAGTAAAGATCCCACTAAACTTGAATCAGTAAAGGACTGGCATTTATTACTTAAATAATATTCACTTAGAATAGTGGAAATGAATGTTTAGAAATAAGTTACTTAAGCACTGGTAGCAGGTTAAAAATGAAAAATAGTAGTGCTAGAATATGTTAATAATTCAAGTGAAAGCAAGAAGACAATGCAAAATTAGCACAGGGAAGTAATGCACAGACGTCAGCTCTACACCAGTTGTGTAGCATCAGACTGATGATAATACCAGTATAATTTGCTGTCATTCTTTAATGGTGTACATAAGAATTGAAAACAGATTATGGAGTGTTGAATCTGTGTTCAGCCATTCATCATTTAGACAAAAAATTATGGATAGAAAATACTGGGAAATGTCTCATAACTGTTGAACCTAGTTGTGAGTGTTGTGAATTGCTTTTAGTAGTTTGGGTTTTTTAATTGAGAAAAAAGACTAATGCCTAAATATGACTTTCAGTAACCTGCTTGCATGCCTGTAGTTCCTTTGATGTGTGAAGATGGCTTGAAAGGTTTTTAAAAAAAAGAAGAAACTCTATGATGCATGCTTTTTTATGTTTAATAATATGAGAAATGTCGGTTCTAGTTTTACTTGGTTTTGTAGAAGAGATTTTATGGGTTTAGCTGTGTAACATGAACTTTGGCATCCTAACTAAACATGTTTTTGAAAGTCTTGAAGGTTTGAAGTCTTCCTCATCCAATTCCTCTGAAAAGTGTACTGAATTTTTAACAGTATATTCTAAAATACTAATTTCTGAAATTTCACCGGAATTTCTTCTCTAGAAGAGAGAAGCTTTTTTCTTGGAATAGCAGTTTCACTACATTTTGAGTCACCATGGTTCAGGAGAGTTGGCAAAATCTGGATCTCTATTAGGCACTCGCTTATCTAAGGATTTTCTTGTGCATAGATTAAGGCAGAAATCTCCAAAACCTCTATCTGTGTAGACTTTGTCTAGTAATGGGGATACCAAACGGATTCATATTTCAAAACCAAAATTAACTTCACTACTATCATGTCTGGTTTCTAAAAATAGATACCTGTTGCTTGAGGGGAGGAAAGGTAGCTCTCAAATTACAAAACATTAAGTATTCAAGACTCCCTGCATAAATGGACAATTCCTTTATTTAGAAAAATGAATGCTCTCCAATACAGTTATTCAGAGAACAATGAAGTTTACTGGAAGCTGTTCTGGTAATGACATGTTAATATGTGAAGTGCCTATAAAGTGTCTATAAATGCTTTACCTTTCTTTTATCTTGCAGATTTTCTATAAAGAATTTGTTCATCCAGAGCCTCTCTCTCCTGAGAAACAAGAGGTAATTTTCATTTCCTTCTAATGAGTGAGTGTAGTCATGGAAGAAGCAGTTTTGGCATATTGATTTATCCATTTTACAGTGTTTTGTTTTTTTTCCTTCCCCCTAAGGGCTTAAAAGAGAAGAAGGAGAGTGCAGGAAATCACACGATGGTGACAGATAAAACTGTATGTATACTGAATTTAAGCCTGGCTTGTAATTCATCAGCCTTACTTTGTTTTGGTTTGCTTTTTAAAATTTATATTTCTTTGTATAAGAAATTGCTGGTAGCATATTCTATGGTCTTTTGACACTGGGAATTTTTAGCTTGAAGCTAGATAGTGCTTTGTGGAAAAACAGAAAACAGAGTAACTGCTTTTTCTATATGTGAAATACAGAACTGAAACCATTCCAACTAATAGTATAATTAAAAAATAAATGTATTTTTCTATTGTAATTTGAAATAGTAATTAAAATTACCTTCTTTAAATGATGACTTATATAAAATTATCTTTAAACAATGACTAATTCTTACAGAATACATTTAGTTTTGTCTTTAGTCAGTTTTTTTTAAACATTGTACTTAAAAAGTTGAGTGATTATTTTGATTTTCAAAGTACCTTAGTATTTTTATTATATATAATGTTCAAGACTTAACCAGGAACAATTTTCAAAATAACTTTAATGTCCTGGATGCCAAGAAAGAAAATGTATTTTACTCCTTGTGTACTTACAGGACCATTTATTTTAAAACTAAATCATTAAGTAGATGGTGCAATTGTGAAGTGTAGAATCAATGCAGCAAGAAAATGTGGTATTTTAAAGGCAAAATTTGTGTATATAATTTTCTTTCAAGTTTACTGTGTTTCTAAGTTTTATGTTTAGTTATTATTAGCATAAATTCTTTTTTTTAATATATAATATTCTATTTGCTTTGGGTCTTGTAGTCAAGAGGTTTCTTGAAAGAAATGCATGCTCTTAATACTGCATCTCTCTTGGAGAGGCCATTACAAAAACCTTTGCTGCAGTTCTGCAATAGTCATGGGACTGGCATACATGTAGATGGTCTTAGTTTTAACTTTAATGCTCTTAGTAAATACTGTGGTTTCTGAGAAGTCTAGAGCTTCTTCAGTTGTGGAATTAACAGTTTTGTATGCTGGAACTCAAAGAGATCTCTAATTTGTTTTATGGTGTGAGTATTTTTCTGGACAAGGTTTCTCTGTTCACTGGCAGGATTTGAGCTTTGCAGGTAAGAGAGCTGTTGCAGGGACTGGAACATGGCTAGGAAATGGCTACTGTGGAAATCTTTTGCCTCTCAGGTACTTCTGTATTATGCTGTAAAATTCAGCCTTTACCAGAAAGATGAGCTTTGTAGCTCTGCAGTTCCCAAGCAATTGGCTTCACTGGGAATCTCAGTGGCGGTCCTAATGCTTCTGTAATGAAAAGGAGTGTGATGCTTTCTTGAATTCTTTGTAGCTTTTGCAGTACCTTTGAGTACTTTTGCAGTAAGCCAGGGTTAAATTTGCAAAAAAAGTCCTGATCACCTCCCAGGTCTTTGAAGATTCTTCTGGATTCAAAAACCTAAATTTTAAGTGTTATGTCTAATAAATACATTTAAAATTTACATATCCGGTATTTATTAGCAAGTTTTAGGTCTTGGAAGAGACGAAATTTATATTTACATGGACGTCAACACCCATATATGGCTAGTCTACTTCTTTCTTTTTTTTTGTCTTCTTGACTGTGGCCTGTTTGTGTGGTGATGTTTTATTTTCAGGCATTGAATGCTGTTATCAAAACTTGGCGAGATGGGCCATATATATTTATTGTGCAAATTGCACTTATAACTGCAAAGGATTCTACTGCCAGACTTAAAAGAGCTGAGAGAACAACACCTTCCACGTATCAGAACAAGCTCTTTACAAGTAAGATAGTTCTTTATACAGTACACTGAAAATGCAGCACCATTTTTATGTATTCCCAGTCTAAGGTACTCTTAGTATATACCATATGGTTCAATTTCGTAAGACACTTCTACTTCATGTAGGAAGAATATTACTACAGCTTATTTAAGAAAAGAGGTATCTCATTTAAGAAAAGAGGCTTCTGTCTTGAAGATCCTAAGACTGTTTTGTTAGTTTACTGATAGAAATGAAGGAGAGTGAATCCCAGGCATTTCAATTTTGAGGCTTGGTGTTTTGTTTCAGGAATGTGCAGACCAATACTGTGATCTATACTAATAAGTCAAAACATAGAGTACAAAAATCATAATTACCAGTATTCTATTATATTCTATTCTATTCTGCATTGATAACCTATTCAAACTTTAGTGAAGTTTAAAAATCCCCTTAAAAAGTGAACTTACGTATGTTTCTGAATTTTTCCTATTATCCATGAATCTCCAGCAAAAATTACTTTTAAATACTGCCATGAGTTACTTGGCGATGGGGTGTGTAATTTTAATTGCATGCTTTTGGCTGAGTATGTTATGGGTCTTAGCTGTCTTTATTAAAGTGCAAATTAGATTTAAAGGCCGTGTGAAGATGTGGAATTTCTTTACACTTAAATGCAAAAGTCCTGGCTTTTTCTTATTGGATTGTCTTTTGACAGTGACAGTAGAACTGAAGGGGCCGTATGAGTATCTTTCACTTGCAGACTACCCTCTGATGATTGTAAGTAAACCAACTTTTCTTTGATCTGTTAAATTATCAGTTGATTTGAATGTCAATTAAATACTCTGCTGTAATACTTCAGGAAACAGAGCCTGTGTCTCAGGAGAAAAACTTAGCTGAAGATGTTTTCGGTTTGATGGGCTGTTTTTGTTTGATTGAGTAGTTTGTTTTGTTTTGTTTGTTTTTTTTGTACTGAGTACAGGGTAGGGAAAACAGACACAGATTTCAGTTCCTTGTATGTGCTGCCAATGTTGTCTTTCTCTGGATTATCTGAATTAACAGTTGTTAATTTGTAGTTCCTGAAGTTATCAGTATTATTAGCTCTAAACTGGGAAGTTTTACTGGTGCTGTTATTCTCCTTAGCTTATATCTTAGAAAAACTGCTATTCTATGCTTTTGTTTGCAGCTACTCTTCATTTGTCAGTGATTTCTTTGTTCTTTTACAGCTTAATCTTGCTTCCTCCACCATACACCCCATGAGGAAGTCTTTAATACTTGCCTAGCAGTGAAAGCATAAGTGAGCTACAAAGAGCTAATCCCCTTTTTATTCAAAGGAGTTATTGACTTGGTTTCTAGTTTCTTCTGTTGAGAAGGCTAAACAATAAAGGAACTTAAAACGTTTAAGTAGTGAAGACAGACTTTAGCTGGGGATCAATAACAAGTAAGGTCTCTAGCCTGACAGTATTGGCAAGAGCAGCCTGTCAATAGTGGAGCCTGGCAGCATTTCTGAAACACACATTCCTGCAGAAGCAAAAAGCCTCCAGCAGCTCTCTTGAAATGTAATTCACCAGTGTGAATATCCCATGTGACAGGACCAGAAAAGAATCTGTATCTTTAAATGTTTTCTCAGTGGAGCACCTGCATGTGAACTATCTCAACTAGGTTCTTATAATTTGAACTGCATGGATTGGTCAGTGTGAAAATGTGTAAGGATCAGTGAGCTACTCTCTTAAGGAAGGTGTTTTCAGTTTGTGAAGGTTTTGACAGATTGTGCAGCTAATTTCAGTGTTATCTTGGTATAAAAAAAAATATTCCTTCTGAAAGAGGAGACTGCTTGATTATTAAGCACTGTCTTACGCTTTGGCTAACTACTTCCTGCTACTCACTTAATGTCTTACTCTCTCCCAATTCTTTTTCTTAAAATTAGTGTCCTTTTGAAAATTTTAACTTGCTTTGGATGATTAGAAAATTCACCATTGAGTAACATTTTCAAGCTTATTGTTTGCTGTATGAGACATACCATGAAAAGTTTTTTGTGAAGCAAATAACACTGAACTGAAGAAAAAACACAAAACATTAATATTTAAGGAATATCTGGATTTCTTTTTCAGCTGCAGTTTTTTTTCTGCACTAAAACTGGGTGAAAAATTGAGTGCTGGAAATCAACTTTTGAGAAAAGTTGTCAAATTATTTGAACAAAGGGCATCCAAGCAGTAGTTGCTTATCTCTGTTCTGTGGAATGGTGTCTAAAGGTGGCCTGTGAGTTTATTTGCAGAGTACTGTAAATGTATGATGAAGTTATTAATAGAACAATACATGAGTGTAACTACAGTTTGTAGTACTTGATGATTTGCTTGGATTCTTAACTTTTTGGAATCTAGTAGCATGTATCTTAGAAAAAGATTACCTGTGAATAAATTGGCAGACTATTCTTCAAGGGAGAAATTGTGTCAAAATTCAGTTATTTTCATTCCCCTTGTTGGTAGTGAGAAATTAGACTCTCACTGTTAGAGTCCAGAGAAGACAAATGAAACAGTGCTTGTCTATTTTCAAACTTCCCAAGTTGCTATACTAGGGGAGAAAATAGAGCTGTCTTACAGCTGTGGAACGGAAACAAGGAAATTATTTTTCTGGTTCTAAAGTTCTTTTTTCTTTCTTCTTTTTGTGTAATAGTTTTTCATGGTGATGTGTATTGTGTACGTATTCTTTGGGGTTCTGTGGCTTGCATGGTCAGCCTGTTACTGGCGGGATCTCCTGAGGATCCAGTTCTGGATTGGTGCCGTTATCTTCCTGGGAATGCTCGAGAAAGCGGTTTTCTATGCTGAGTTCCAGAACATCCGCTACACGGGCGAATCCGGTAGGTGGCAGTTGCATTGTGCAGGATAATTGAGGGGGCATAGCACTAATGGCTTATGCTAGATTGGGGTGGCAGATACATGTTAACTGCATGATTATTTGAGGATTGCTTCAAAACAAAGAACAGGGAACTAGAGTTCCTGTATTTTTAAATGTAAACATTATGCTCTGTGTTCTTCTGAAGCTAAAATACTGTTGCTTTCTCTGACTTCTGAGAGTGGTGTCTTAAGGTATGTGCAATGCTGCATTCTGTGCTGCTATGCTGTAGTGCTGGTTTTAAGTATAAAATAGGACTTGCTCAGTGTGGCTTGTAATTAATTTCTTACAATTGGTATTGGCCTTGGAAAGATACTTTAAAACTCCTTGTTCAACTTGATAGCACTGTAGATAACTCTTGGTATTCAACCCACAGCCTCATAATCCAGTTTAAGAGATTTCCCTTTAAGTCAAACTCTTCTACTCTAATTTTGAGTTTCAGGCTGGATGCATACAAATGAAACTCTGCAGGAAAAATGTCATTATGACTTTACTAATTGGCCATACCCATGGTGCAGAAGGTTTTATTGATTGACTTGTTTGAGAGAGTATCTAGGCCGGATGTAAAATTTTTCTGTAGCTTATTTTTTATGCCAAATGACCTATGTTTTCTGAAAGCTAACTCCAGATGTAGATAATAAAATGATGCACATTATCTTTAGCCTACTTTCTATGTCTGCTCTCATACTATAATTGCAGGCAGTAGTTAATAAAACAGATATTGTATTTTAATGAACTAACTTCCTCCTCTTTGCTTTTGGTAGTTCAAGGAGCAGTAATACTTGCAGAACTTCTTTCTGCTGTGAAGCGCTCATTGGCTCGAACTCTGGTCATCATAGTCAGCCTGGGATATGGGATAGTCAAGTGAGTAATTCTGCTACGGGTTTGTTGCATTTAAAGGGCTTTCACTATTGCTTTTTAAGAATTTAGGGCAGTATTCATCTCCCTGTACTTTGCATTTTTAAAAGGTAAGTGCTTTACTTAGGTGCTCTGAAGACCTAGATTTCTTCACTAGTAAACGAAGACAGTTCCATACTGTGATTACTCTTCTTTCCATCTACTTCTGTGTGCTCCTGTAGGGTGGGTTTCTGAGTCATTGTTGAGATGCTCCACTGACTGAAATGGGAGCTTTATGGGCCTGCCTTCTGCGTGAGGCGGAGCTTTTATAAATGGGGTGCGTCAGGAATTACCGATAGGTGAGGGGATCTGCTTCAGTAAGATTGTGGCTCATTTGTCTGTCCACAGCTGTATTCAACGGTAAAAACACATGCTAGGTGACAGTGGGAATTTTAGCCAAGTGTGGGTTTGCTGGGGGAACTGGTGAAGAAGTGGGATGAGACTTAGTGAAATGGTCATAAAAAGCTAGACAGGTTAACTCAGAAGCAGGACTGTTTCCAGTCTCTCCCTTAGTCACATCATACCATACATAAGTCAGAATTAATATATTAAGTTTCAAGCACCAAAATAATACTTTTGCATCTAGATATGGCTTGTTATAAGGACCGTTTATTCATATGCTTCATACCTTATGTTTAGATTCAAGTTGACACGACTTCATTTTTTGTCCCCCACTTAATCTGAATTTCACTGTGTTTCCTACAGGCCTCGCCTTGGAGTGACTCTTCACAAAGTAGTTATGGCTGGAGCCCTTTATCTGTTATTTTCTGGCATGGAAGGTGTTCTTAGAGTCACAGGGGTCAGTAATAACTGCTTGAATTTTCCCATATGCCACAGGCACTATTGGCTGTATGTACTTGTGTGAACAGCTGCTTTCCCTCCCCCTCCCCAGCAACAACCACCAACCCAAATTCCCACTGCTCCGATTTTGGAGGCTGTGCCTGGGGAAGTATGTGTGAGTGATGCTGCTACTGTATTTGTTAAATGCATCTTGGGATGTAGATTTCTGTTACTCTGTTTTTGGGATATTTAACCTATTGTATATTTGATACTTTTTCCAGTTTTTCTATGACACTGTGGCTCTGATAGCAAACTTGGCCCTGTCCATGATTGATGCCTGTATTATTTTGTGGATATCCTTTTAAAAACTGCAGAATGCTACGACCTTATTCATAGCTTATTATTTCTGTCTTCCGCTTAAATGGAATAAAGAGTGTTTTTCTTGTTTCTGTTAGGACTTTGATAAGTTTATGATGTACACAGAAAGGCAAGTTTTGCCTTTTTAGTCAAACTCATAGTTGCCAGTGGAGCTTGCAGTTCATCCATGGATAGTGTAAAAGATTTAATTACTACATCTCTAACAAGCTGGTTGCTAGTTTTCTGTAAGAGGTGGACAGAGCAATTAATCACAGCAACTGCCTCAGCAGAGACTCCTTTTAACAGTGCTAGATTGACTTAATCTGGAAAACTGCTTCTTGTCTTGCTGGTGGAGAACTGAGAACTGACAATGTGGTATTGTCAGTTCCTCTCTGTGCATTGGACTAAACTCTTGGTTCAAGCCCTCTGTTTCTGTAGTAAAACTGGGAAGTGTTGTGGTGGCGTTTTTGTGGTGTCTCATAAAACAGCCTGACACTCCTCCCTTCTCTACTTTGTTTTCTTTTCAGTTTGTTCTTATTGGCTCTCTCTTTGTCTCCAGGCCCAGAATGATCTTGCCTCCTTGGCTTTTATTCCCCTGGCTTTCCTAGATACTGCCCTGTGCTGGTGGATATCCTTCACTGTTTTGCTTGATGGGGTGTGTTTTCTTTTGAATTTTGGGGTTTTTTTGAGTCTTTATTTGGCTGAACTTTTTTTAAAAGTAAGATCCAAGTATACATATTTTTTCTACTTCTGGTGAAGGTTGTAGAAGTTCTGCAGTTGAGTGTTCAGGTAAGCTTCTGCTGCCTACTGCTTACCTAGTTTTTGTTGAACTGGATGTGTCTGTGTAAAGCTGTTCCAGAATATAATCTGTCTGTTACCAGAATCTCATTATTGAGTATGGAAGTAATTTGTTCTAGTCTAGAATGTCATGGCACCAGAGCAGTAGCCTTTGAAGAAATTACTCAGTTTATGTTTTGGGGGAGAAGGTTGCTTAGCAACATCAAACATAGAAGTCTGTAAAATTCAAACTAGTCTTGAAGTAAGGGACAAAATGAGGCAGAGTTTATTTTTTGGTGTCTTGACATATGCATTGCAAGCAACCATAATCTTATGTGACTTAGCAACTGACATCAAATGCTGAACTTGTCTATAGCAAAATCCCTGTAAAGTGTCGTTAGTGAAAGTCGATCACAAAAGCTCTATATAAAATGAGAATAGCTTGCTGCCCAGCTGTGACAAGCCACAGTTCTCCCCTATCACAATATCTCTCCTAAGCACTTGTTTTGTCACTGTGGAAATAAAAGAAAATGTGCACATGCATTAAACTAATTTCTAGTTCAAATTTCACTTTTCACTTATGAAAAGCACAGATGACTTTCCTGAGGGAATGGGCCATAGTCCAAAATATATGTTTGGATAGCATCTTTATATGACAAGAGTTATAGGTGTAGATGACTAAACAACATGAAAAGGACAGATTTTGCTCTCTGGTACCTTTGTCATAGGATCAGTCTTTTCTTCTACTGAGAATGGTCTAATTTTTTGGAGGGCTAAGTGTGTAATGGAGAGAGCTGTTAATCATAAGGTCTGTGTCCTTGTAAGTCTGTGCGACCAGCTTGTCTCTTCAGAGACTTTTCCTTGACTTTCCATACATATTCATCAGCTTGACTCAAACAATGAAGCTGCTAAAGCTTCGAAGGAATGTTGTGAAACTGTCTTTGTATCGGCACTTCACCAACACACTCATCTTGGCGGTAGCAGGTAAGCAAAATATTATTCCAGTTAAATAAAAGCACTTTTCATATAGGGCTTTGGTCACTAGAGTAAATTTATAAATTTGGTGACCTTTGTGTAAGTACAATCAAAATTTTTGGTATTTCTAACGCTTGACTCATTTCTAACAGTATTTGCCAAGTTTCATGTTGATACATCAGAGACAGAGGATTATCGATTATTAGTCCTGACGTTAACAATATCAGCAGTTCTCTGCAGCTCCTCTACCAGAGCGCTTTAGTTCCACTTTGAGCTGCCAGGGGGAAAAGTTTATTATGCTGTTAACTTCACAGGGATACTTTTTCCGAAATCAAAGTGTCACTGTATGCTATGGGATTTTTAAGAAGTCTGAAGATCAGAGTGATTCTTGAAAAAACTGTATTTTTAGTTTTGTAAGATAATGCCATCTCTATTCTGGAAGAATACAGATTGAGTTCCTCTTTCCATTTATAGTAGTGATAAACTGAACTTCAAGAATAAATCTGTTGGTGCTTCCAGATACTTCTGCTATCAATACAATGAGCTGAAAACTTCTAAAGACTGTGTTTTTTGACTTAAATAAACAAAAAAGTGCATTCCTTTTGAACAACAGCTCTGATGAAATTTCTTTCAGCACCTGGTTCTTAATCATCTTAAAATACTTTAGTGGAGGGGAGTTTCTTCTAAAAGTGTGGTAAGAGCATAGTTTGAGTGTTGGAACTGTTGTGGGTCAAGATCTGGATGCTTAAGACATTCAAGCAAATCAGATTATTTTCAAGGTTACTTCAAGGTCAGCTTTAATGCTAGATAAATGATACAAGAATAATAAATAGGAATTAGGAGTTGGCTAAATACTTTGATTTATGTCTTGTGTATGGAATAAAATGGGTAAAATATACTGGTCTGTGCCTAAATTTCTGTCTAAGGTCAGTGCAATAGAGCCATCTCTTGTTTTCCAAAACTATTAAATTTAATTTGAAGACTTCAGTATTCAGGTCTTTGATCTTTGTTTGGGAAACACGATCCTGTTAGTGGGATATTTGAATTGGCATCTTCTGTAGTAATGAGCAGCTTGTTTGTTTGAATATTACAGCATCTATTGTATTCATCATCTGGACAACCATGAAGTTCAGGCTGGTAGACTGTCAGTCGGTGAGTTTATATTAAATGCTTTCTCCAGTTGCTGCCTCTTGATAAGTTTATATTTGGCAGTGAGATTGTCACAAAGCAACACATGCTAAAATTGTCAGTGTTGTGGTAATAAACCTCTTTGACAAATGCCTATAGTTCAGCCTTGGAAAGTGATGAGGACATGAACTTTCTTGCTTCACAACGTATTTCTGCTGCTGGTTTCTTGACAGGACTGGCAAGAGCTATGGGTGGATGATGCCATCTGGCGTTTATTGTTTTCAATGATCCTTTTTGTCATCATGATTCTGTGGAGACCATCTGCTAACAACCAAAGGTTCAACTTTTTTTACCTCTTCCTAAAAATAGTTGGTTTTAGGAATGCTTGTTTATTCAGAAAGTACTGGTGGGTGGTTTTTAGTTGCTGTACACTAATGAATAAGCAGTGTGTATGGGGAGAAGTAAACCTAGAGAAGTTACATGTATAAAATCTAGTCTGTTCCTGGTGCTCAACTTACTTAAAAAGAAGTGACTTAAATTTTGATTATGTAGTTTAGCATCAGTCTTAAAAACAGTGAACTAGACAGAATAATCAAGCCATGTCCATGTTGGGATAATGGATCTCTTGGGAGACAAGAGATAGAATTCTAAGATGGCTTTCATTCTTTCACTTCTATAGGTTTGCTTTCTCACCACTGTCAGAAGAGGAGGATGATGATGAGCAGAAAGAGCCAATGTTAAAGGAAAGCTTTGGTAAGAGAAGAAAATTTTCCCACTCAATTTCAGTGTTGAAAACAGTTCTCTAGAGGAAGGTGTCTTGCTCTGTTAAAAATTTTATTGCTGCAGGAAAAATCAGAGTCAATTGCCATTGATACACAGAGTTCTAGAGGAAACACTAGCTTTATGTTTAGTATTTACATTGCCTGTTTAATTCTGTGGTTTTCCTTTGACACTGAAAACACTGCTACTGCTGTGGTTGCTTTGCCATGTCCAGTGGACTTTGATTAAATATGTCACATCTGAGGTTTTAATCCAGTTGTGATGACATGGATCTTTTAGATACTGTTGGTAGGTGGTAGTTCAGTGTGCAGGTATTTTAAAATCCCATTTAAGAATTTCCATATATTATCTGGTCTCTGAACTCTGAAATCTTCTCCCTTTTCTACATTAGGGCTTAGCATAGGAATGTCCAGTGTAAATGTAGGGGGGAATATGTTTATTCGTGAAATTGTCTATTGTAACACCTCTCTTTATAAGCTGTGTAAAAGGTAGGGCTACATGCCTACTGCTGTCTGTCCACAAATGAGTTATGCTGGGTTATGTCAGTGCTGTTTGGCTTGTTTAGGAGCTGAGAATTATGTAATCCATTAGGTGCATTTGGCAAACCAGCGCTATCTGGCTGTCTGCTGGGCCGGGAGATGCACGTTACTTCTCAGCTTTTAAGGCAACCAAGTGGCTGGTGAGCTGTCAGTAGGTAAAATACACTTTGGGAGTTGCCTGTGTCTCAGAATGGTTGAGGCTGGAAGGGACCTCTGGAGGTCATCCTGTCCAAGCCGCCTGCTCAGGCAGGGTCACCTAGAACGCATTGCCCTGGACCGTGTCCAGATGGCTTTTGAGTATCTTCTAGGATGGAGATTACACAGCCTCTCTGGGAGCTATGTCTGGGTTCTATGCTGCTGATGTCTGGCTTAAATATAAGGACTAGAAATTTATAATATTTCCTAGGTAAAATTTTAAAATTCAGGAAAAACTACATACTCCACCTGCCAAGAAAAAATACTGCAAGCCTTTCAAAGGGGAAGAGTCTAAATCATTAGGTGATCTGTCCTGAAATGTCCTGAAGGAACACTCAACACTTTCACATACAGTCTATGAACAATTATCATTCAGTTACCCCAATATTTTTTCTTCTTTTGGCTTCAGAGGGAATGAAAATGAGAAGTACAAAGCAAGAACCAAACGGGAATGTAAAAGCAAACAAAGTTGTGAGTATGACCTCTGTACTTGGAAGAATATAGATTCCTCTCTTCTTTATTTACTGTCATTAGGAGCACATACATATGCCAACTTTTGAGCCAATAAATGGGAGCTTTTTGGTTTGCTTCAGAATGTGAGTGAGTCAAAGTATCGTAAGTTAACAGTACTGCTGCAAAGAAAGTAAATACAGATTTCTCATGAGATTTCCTGTAAATACAGTAGGAACTTAAGAATTCAGTCTGTTCTTTAAGAATGTTCTTTAAGAATGCAGTTCAGTGTAGTGTAATACAGTATAATACAGTAGTGATTATCTCTATTACAATAGTTATGATCTGTTATCACTGTTACAATAATGATGATAGTGATTAAAACATTACTTTAACAAGTTTGTCAGTTTGATAGGGAGACTGAGCCATATTTTAAATAAATTGCCCTATGTTTTTGAGATTTGTGTTTCATTACATGAATGAGGTGATGTGTATATTTTTATGTACCTTCCTAAATACTTTGGGGGAACATGCATTTTTCCTGTGTGGCTTATAAGCAAGATACTTGCACATTCATCTAGGAGGCCTAAAATATGTCTTGTAATCTTTTCATAGAATTCATGCATAAATTTGAAAGTTGAAAGAACCTATAGGAATTTGTTATAATAGCAATCATATTTTTGTCATTAGCATTGTTTTTCTCAAGGGTTGGGAGCAGCTGTATACTGCTTACCTGAGGATAGATAAGATGAAAATCAAACTTTTCTATTTTGCGAGGGGGTGATGGTAAGGACTGTTACAGAGCTCACAGCAAGTGGGTGGGGTTTTTCTTTTTTTTTTCTTATTTTCACTAATTCAGAAAACAAATTGAAGGAGTTTTTTTGTGTTTGTTTATTTTTAAGTTTTTAACTGACATTACAAATATATTGGTTTTTGTCAGGTAGGTTGAGAAGAAGGTTTGCATATGACAGCATTGTGGGAAAACTGACTTTTGTTTTCTGTTTAATTTCTGTACTTGTAGCAAGAGGATGACCTGAAGTGGGTTGAAGAGAACGTTCCTTCATCAGTGACAGATGTGTGAGTATTTTTATAATCACAATAAAGGCAGGTTCTCTTTCCACAGGACTACATTAGAGTGCCTTATCTCTTCTATGCTGCACTTCGATGGGCAGAGACTGGTTCAGCCTGGCACTGGCCTCTGATCCCTTGTATGCAGTCTGCTGGGGTTGCACACAGGCTGACTTAAGGAACAGTCTCTTGGAATGTGAAACCGTAGACTGGACTGCATTTTATTAAAGTTAAAACAATATACATAAATCCAGAAAACAAAAGAAACAAACCCCTTTCTAGTGCTCTGAAAAGACCTTTGAGTATCTTGCTGAATGTAAACCATGGAATAATAATAATCCAGTTTCCAGCTTTATCTGGAACATCAGATGTCATTTTTCTGCTTGTGGTAATATAATCAGCTATGTATAGTGTCTATATCTCTTCTGCTTTTAATGACTTCTACATGCTAGAAGTGTCAGTGCCTCTGTCTATATTTTTCATAACAAAACTGAAGTTCATAAATACGTGTTTTCACAAATTTGAACAAGTAATTTTGGCAGAGGATCTGGATTGAAGTATGAAACTTTGCCTGAACTTAGGTAAAGACAAGAAATTAGGTGAAGTTTTAAGAGAAAAAAAGTGCATTTTCTCAATTGAATTTGATTTTCCCAGTTCTAGTACTTATGTTTTTTAAAGACTGACAGGATTCCTTAGGAAAAAAAGAACTAGACTGCTATAAACTAGGAAAGGGCACTTTGAGGTAATCTGCTGCAGGTTTTTCTGTTTCTGAGAGTGTGATCAGGGTTGTGAAGAGCCAAGATCCCAGTAGATGGGAGATCTGTGTAGCTGGCAAGGCTGAAGTACCAGTAGAACTTGTTTGACTTCTGGGACATGTTTTTACAACATGGTCCCATATTATAAATGTCTTCAGTGGAGTTCAGTAATGTTCCTGTATGAGTGAAGCAGCTTATTTCTTGGCAACTTGGAAATTGTTCATTTAGTAATAAGATGCAAAATAGAATTTTAAAACTGTGAAGGTCATTGAGGATACTCCTTGGGTGGTTCTTTTCTTGTGTGTCTTTCTCTAATTTCTGTTAAATTGAAACTTCTGTCTTCATTGTTTCTTTTCTGTGCCCTAAAAAGCAATGGAAGGTTGAAAATGGTTGTCAGTATGTTCTTAGTATGTGCTCTAATTATTTTAACATTTTTCCCCCCACTGCAGTGCTCTTCCAGCTCTTCTGGATTCAGATGAGGTTAGTAAGGAAATCTTCAGTTCAAATTAGTCTTCTGACATGCCAGAGGAGTCATGAGTCAGCTGATAAGGTCTTGCCTTATTAGAACTGGACTCTGCTCGTGTCATTGCGACAGTAAAATATTTCAAGAGGGGAAGGGTAGTGGGAACAGCCATGATACAGCTTCTTAGAATACAAATGTATTCTAAAATAAGTGGTGTATCTGCTGTGTAAGTTTGACTCCTGACTTAAAATGCATGCAAGTGTTGTTTGTTGTGAATGTGCACATTCTGAATAATATAAATCTACTGGGGGAAATGACAAGATTGGGTATTTTACTTTCCAGGAAAGAATGATTACCCACTTCGAAAGGTCCAAAATGGAATGAAGGAAGTGCTCTTGGAAGTGGAGACACCTCTTTTAAAGTTGCTTGGTGGAGCAAGTACATCCTGCTGATTTGTCTCTTGATCTCAGCCTTGAAAGTTTGATGCTTTAATGTCATGGAGGGTGTCTTGCTGTGGAAGAAGTTCACAAGGACATTATAAACCTTTTGGAAATTTGAATTTAAAGTTGCTGCAAGTTTGGATTTTTAAGCAATTGACATGTGTACTATTCCAGCACCTTCTGTAACTTTTCAAATATTTAATCTGTGAAACTAAAATTCCTAATGTCTGCTTGAGGAGTTTATATTTCAATGTTACAATTGACACTTAGAGGTGAGGAGTTTATATTTCAATGTTACAATTGACACTTAGAGGTGAACTGCCTGTACCTGTTTGGGGGGAGGGTGGGGACAGATAGAAATAAGCACTGAAGAAACAACAGACCCATTTTCTGGTAGATAACAACAGCTGTTGTATGTCATGTGTCCAATATGCATGAGAGAGGTTTAGAGAGAGGCTCCTGTTGATGAAGAAAATTAAGATGCCAGAAAGGAAATATTTAGAAAAGTTACAGTGATATGAGTTTTTAACAAAATCAAGTGCAATTTTATTCATAACACTGTGTATGAAAGATTTTCTATTATAAACGCCATTGACCTGTAGGTAACAGCTGCCTAGAGCTAACACTCGCTGTTGTGGCACATCTCATTGCCGGCAATGTGGTGGATGCCTGGAAAAACAATTTGCCCCTACCTTTCATGTGTTGCATGAGTTAATTTAAAATATTACCCCAACAAATAAAACAACAAAAGCAAACATCACCAGAAACACTCCTGCAGTGCTCCAGAGGTGCTTGACTGCACACGTTAAGCAGATATTAACTGGATGTTTCCGCAGAGCTCTTCTCCCTTTGTGTATACCATCTCCCACCAAGAAGTTGGCACTCCTCTATGAGAAGATGGCATTGCTTTCTAGGGGTGTGAGCACTGCCTGCCTTACTTGAAAAAGGATTTATGGGGAGTCCACAGTACTGGGATATTTCTGTTCCCAGTGTCTGTTTGAAATTGCTTCCCATATAAGTGGTTTGAAGCTGGGCTTTCCTGTCCCTACTGGTCCCTGTGGCCAAGAGATACTCTGAGATCACTGTGTTTCAGTCAAAGTTGCAGGTTTCTATTCTGTATAATGGCATTTTATTTCTCCTTTTGAAATGAAAAAAGAGCTTTTGGACAATGTTCTGGTTTTTGCTTGGCTGCAACAGCTGAAGTTGCAATAACTTCCTCATGGAAACCTGTCCTGGACTGTATGACAAAAGCTCTAATTTGGGTTTATAACCTTTAAAACTGATGATTAGGAGGCAAGCAGCAGCTGGATACTAGGTAGCAGATGTGGCTGCTGCTGGAACAGCATAGAGCATCAGCTTTTCTGGTTCTTCTCATAGCTATGTCAGCAGAAGTGAACATGTGCCTGTACTTCATTCATTCCACTGTAAGGTCTGGTAGCTTAGCTGTAGCTCCTCTTTATCAGCAATTCAAGCTGAAAAATGGCACTTTACAGTACAGTAGCTGAGACACAAGGACATAGCATCTTCTGCTAACTGTGTTGGGGGAGGGCAGATGGGTAGAGATAAAAGAGCTGTGGCTGTGGCATCTCACTGCTTCTGCAGGAGTTGCTGGAGCTCTTCTGCCATCCTTGTCAGGCCACAGATAGAATCTTTAATCTTTTAGAAAACAATTCTAATTTGCTATGCTTAATTAATATAGATTAAAAAAAATATTATCTCCATGTCCTTTTGGGGAGAGGAAGTTTTGTGAAATAAAGCTACACAAAGCTTGCTATTTATTTTTTTTTGTTTTGTTTTGATTTTTAAAGGAATTCTATTGTTTTGGGTTGTTTGGGTTTTTTGAAACAAATAGGTAAAAATGTTCTCTACTGGAAGCACAAAAGTTTGTATGTACTATTTAATAAAGGCTAGGCAAAGAGTAGAAAGGCTCACATTGTGTCCTTCCAGTTGCTTACTCCCTCTTCTCTCATATGAAGTGTTACCACCTTCACAGAGCTGCCTGGTTTTAGCTCTTTAATCCATGGTATATATAATCCAGTTTTTCCAACAGTTCTTTTTAAGATTGAAAATGAAGTCTGTCATTTGAAAAGCTTATGGAGACAGGGAAAATCATAAATTTCTGAAAAAAAAGTAAAGGAACCAGCCAGTTTCCCTAATTGTATGAATAGTTCAATTAATAATTTAAAAGCTGAAATAAACATAGTAGCAGTGTCGTGCTTTCAGCCTCTACCACTTCTAACCTTCCTTTCTTGTACTCACTTCCAGCAGTATCTAAAGTTGTCCTGAATTCCCAGGGAGCTTGTTGATCCCTTAGTTAGCAATATTTAGTTTTTTCACTTGTTTAGCAAGTTTTCTTTTTGTTGGAAAGTACCATCTGCTTCCTAGCCTTCAGCAGGTGTGTGTTGGGACTTGTCTGCAGTCTTTGGGAGAAGCTGTGTGAGCCCAGCTCCCACAGAACTGTGTGGGCTATGGCACTGTCATTGCGGGAGAGATGGTAGTGGATGAGATGTGTGTGAGGAGCAAGGGGTGTGTTTGCAGGTTGCAGCAAGGTGGCTTCTCCCTCAGCAGCATGTTTGTTCAGGTATGTTGGCTCTACTGAGGCATCTTTGCCTCTTCTGACACCTGATCCTAAAGACATACTGGCTCCATGACTCAGGAAAGCTTCAGCAAGCTAGCTTGCTTGAATGCTTGAAACCAGGAATCCTGCAGATTGTTACCTCTAATTATGTAGTCGGGGAAAACAATTCAAACTTATACCCCTTCTTTCAAAAACAAACCATGCAAACTGTTCTGAAGACTTGGTGAGCTAGAGGGAGAAAAGATCCACTTTCAGGTCTGGGATCTGCAGGAGTTCTTCAAGAAGCCGTTTGTTCTACTTGCAGAAGAAGTAAATGTCTGACTGGAATATTTTAGAGTTCTTGTGCCTGATTAGTTCTGTATGGATTTATTTATTTGTGGGAAGTAGCTGTTGGTATTGTAGCATATATCTGCATACTGTACAGAAAACTGGAAACAAACTGAAGAAAATGGTGTTGACCAGCTTTTTATTAGGGTGCCAAGATGTCCCTGTTAGGAGCTCCAAAGGAGGGACTGAGTAAGAGATCACATGCCCTGGTAAAGAAATGCAAGAGGCTTGATAGGTACAGAGTGAGTCAGGATCATAAGACCTAGGGAAGGTTATGTTTATCTTACTCTGCAGCTGTAGGGGTATGTGAGTTTGTGGGCTTTATTTATCTTCATGTTTGCTTTATATGGCATTTTATGTTGTATGCTATGTCTTAAACTCTGAAGAGGGTAATGCTTCACAAATCATTTGCTCTCTGGACTACAACCATGTGAAGTCATTATTACCCATTGTTACTGAAACATTTCACTAAATCAGTACCATGCCCCTTTCCTTTTGTAGGGATCATTGGTTAAAAAGACTAGCTATGTGCCTGAGCCATAATGCCTTTGGTAATTCACAGTTTTGCTATCTGTGAAGGGGAAGCTGACTTCACAGTTTTGTGCTTTAGCACAAAATGTTCATTCCTGAGCAGGAAAGAAGTTGGATGCAAGAATACTATGCTTGTTCTTCCATTCCGGTGCTTTGATCTTCCAGCACAGAGCATCCTCAGTCCCTGTTTTCTCAAAGTGGTCTCTGTTGGTAAAAATGCTTGAAGAATTTTGTACCATGTGCTTTTTGAGTTTGGCTTAGTTAGTTTCTAGGTCAGGGATTGTGAATGTTGCACCACCATGACAAACATAAATGCAACCGTGGCTGATTCTGGAAGGAACAAACTAACAAGAAAGTTGTCCTGGAGATTGAAATTCACTGGCCGAATTCATAGGATAAGCCCATTAAAGTAAAACTTATGTCCTCAGAAAGTATACATTTGCTTGCAAGATACGGTTCGCTGTTCTCATCTGGTTGTCGCAGGTTATGCAGATCAATTTTGGCGTTGCATCCCGGGTGCCTTTCCTGCTTTCTCTGGTTTATGGTAGCCAATGGCAACCGGACCCCTCCTGTAGCGACGTTTTGGGAAGACGAGTTTCCTACAGCCTGTCCCCTTTCCGGGGTGTATGAAGATGCTCGAGGGTTATGTCAGGGTCCCCTCGGTGCCGGGCCGACCCACCTTTCCCATCGCTCCCGAATCCCGGGCCGAGCTGTTTGACGCCGGCGCGGAGCCCCGTTTGTGGGGGTGGGACAGGGCGCCGTTCCTGGTGGAACGCGCCCGGACAGTGCCAGAGCCTTAGGGAAGTCCGCGGGGAGGTGCCGGGATAAGCGGGGCGGGCTGAGCGCGGCGGGAGGAGCGGTGCCGGGACAACCAGGGCGGTGCGGGGCGGTGTCGGGATAAGCGGGGCGGGCGCGGCAGTACCGGGACAAGCGGGGCGGTGCCGGGGCAAGCGGGACAAGCAAGCGGGGCGGTGCCGGGGCGGTGCCGGGGCAAGCGGGACAAGCGGGACAAGCGGGGCGGTGCCGGGGCAAGCGGGCGGAGCCGCGGTGCGGAAGCGGCGCCGGGCGGGCGCTGCCGGAAGGGGCGGGAGCCGGGGGCGCTTCCGTCGGGGCCGTTCCCGTCGGGGCCGTTCCCCCGCCCCGCCGGTGCCGCCTCTGCCTGGGCCGTGCG